CTCGCCTTTGGAGAGGGCACCCCGGGTGGCCTGCGACAGGGTTCAGTTGCTAACAAAGACTCCCAGGATCCGTGAGAGCGTAGCTTACCCATCCTTATCCACATGGGTTACAGGCCAGGTGTCTGTTATTTCAGGATTCAAAACAATCTTGAGGACTGGAGCCAAGCTCATTTTCTCCGCTTACGTGGTTTCACAGATCCTGGTGCCCCCAAAGAGGGCTCCTGTAACAGGACTCCCCCCTCTCTCTCTCTCTCCCTCCCTCTCTCTCTCTTCCCTCGCTCGCAGGGGAGATCCCATAGTCCTATTCAGCGTGTTCCGATACCCGTGAGGTGCACGCTAGGGGAAGAGTGGTTGGCCCGAGCGGTGGTGCTGAGGGTGGTTTCGTTTCCGTTCATGGCATTAGTAGGCTGGCCATCCTTCACCTTCCTTCTGGATCTGTGTGCCCACCAAGTACTCTCTTCGCACTGGGAGGTCTTTTCCATCCGTTCTTTTCCCATTCCAAGCAGATTGTCTCTGGCTGGGTATTCCTTGCCCAGTTCCTAATTCTCCTTTCATTCTCTCTTTTTTCATGTGGTCCCATGCTCTTTGGTCCATTGTTGTCATCGTGTACTGACATCTGTACTCTAAGTAGGAAATGAATGCAAGATGCAGAAAATACCGAGTCACCCAGGCTAACATCATACGAATAGTGGTCACTCCTAAATAGATGTTGGTGGGCATATGTCCCAGAAATCTCTATTACTGTCCACCTCAGACTCCTGGCTTTTCATCACAGGGAAGCAGGCCCATCAATTTAAACTAATATTCCTCAGTGATCAGAGTGCCCCTCTGCCCGATTGTGGCTTTTCTCACATAATGATGGGTCCAATAGCTATTGTTTTTTACATGTAATATTGTGACAGATGAGACACGGAGCATATAAACCTTCTACCATAGAGCAAATACCTTTCTTAATTAAACCTTTACCATCGCAATGACCACACAGTGTTCTTTCAGGTTATTATAAATCAGCGTTCCCCAGATTTGACTGGGTAAATATTCCCCTAGGATACTTTCCAGCACAGGTCTTTAATAACAGATGTGTCCTGTGAAATGAGCACCAAAAGACATAGCCATTTTATTTATTTTTTTTTTAATTTTTTTTTAATGTTTATTTATTTTTGAGACAGAGACAGACAGAGCATGACCAGGGGAGGGTCAGAGAGAGAAGGAGGCACAGAATCTGAGACAGGCTCCAGGCTCTGAGCTGTCAGCACAGAGCCCGACACGGGGCTCGAACTCACGGACCGTGAGATCATGACCTGAGCCGAAGTCGGCCGCTTAACCGACTGAGCCACCCGGGCACCCCACACATAACCATTTTAATAGTGCTCCGTAGACTCATGGTCGCAGTCAGAATCCAGGGTGTTTGATAGATTGGCCAGCTGTCCTGTTCACTTCTTGACTTTTTTTTTTTTTTTCCCACTCCAGATTCTTTCGAGAGTTGACTCATACCTAAGGGAGCATATTTTAAGCCTCTTTCTAGGCACCAACATTATGTTAGATTTTCCCTTTTTAACACCCACGGTGTGGCTTTGTTCCTCTCGGCACCAGCGTGCCCTTTCTTCAGCATCATTCATTTTAGTCCAGACCTTCCACCCCCACACGGTGTATGTCCCTTGAGTTCAGCCACTTGGCTAGTCCGTGTTGAGCTGGTAGCAAGATAAGGCGTGCCCAGGCTGCCCCTTCAATCCCTTCCCAGTGGTAAAGGGTCAGAGTGGATGAGTACAGAAAAGGGGGGTTAGTTGAGGGGTGGGGAAGGAGTGATCCCTTCTGGCAGCCCCCGTGCAATTCTTACACTCAACGTTCCAAGTAATAGCCATAATATCCTCTTGCAGAATTTATCAGCCTTTGAGACCCTTAATTGTAGCCCCAGTTCAGGGACTGCTAGGGATGGCATTGAAAAAGAAAATGTGGTGAATTAGGGAATACCTGTGGGTGTTCCCCGCTTGAATTCTCTTTTTAAGTGCCAGTGGTCTCACGGGTGTAGCCCATTTATCAAAGTGCGCGTTGCCCACGTTCCTTTGGTTACGTCTCCACCTGCAGTCCAGTGAGAGTGAAGCTCCCTGGAAGGCGGTTCTGAACTTCCTTGAGCTTTGCTAATGCTTCCAAGGAACCGAATCTGGAGCAGACCTGCTGTGGCCTTGAGCTCTTCTCTGATCCCTTCTGTGAGCGCCTGAGGTTCAGGTTCTGTCGTGTCTGGATTGCACTGGAAAGTTCTAACATCGGTAGCCAGTTTCAAAGCTGGTGCTGCTTGCGATCAAGGGTAGCTTGGCCACCATCATCAACAGTTCGTTTTCGTCCCTTTTTTTCACAATCATCTTTTGTTTTTGTTTTTTTTTTTTTCTTTTTCAGTAAGTTTGAGCTAAGGGTGAGTGGGGGGGTCTTCTAAACAATCTGACTTCTGACGCTGATTGCACTGGGAGTGGCAGTTGGGGCTCAGTTGCTCAGCAGACTCACGGAACCCACGTGACAGGGCTTCAGAATTTACAGTTCACCACTGGAAAAGGCTACAACATGCAGGATATGCATCAAAACCACAGGCTGCCTCACAGCACAGGGCCCGGGGAGGCCAGGTGCAAGCTCCAGGTGCCCTCTCTGTAAAGGTGGTACCGGGACGCCCCTTGTCTCTTGCATCGAGAACCACCCCTGTGCGCCCAGACCACTTGGGAAACCAGGGAGCTCATAGTGGAATCTCACACAGGGTTTCGCGAAGCCTTCTGGTAATCGGAGCCTATTCTTCCCACATAGCCAGTCCCCAAACCAGATAAAAATGGTCAGGGTGACGTCGAGCAACGAACCGTAACGATGACGTGTAACCCATGGCTGCACGTCAAACGCAGTAAGGCGCTTCTTTTCACTGCTTTGATCAAGGCTCTGCATCGTGTCGCTCTTTGAGCAGAACAACAAGAAAAACACATGTTAGGCCAACGCCAGGGCCTCTGAAATTAACCCTCACAGCGCAGATAACCACATCAAAGCGCAGTGACTTTCTTGCTGGGCAGCGATGTGCTTGCAGAGTCCTTCAGCCCGAAGCATCAGCTGCTTCTAGAAGGGCGCAAGTTAGGTTACAGGATGGTTTATACACTAGCACAGAGTCTCAGGGGCGACCCGTGGAATGAGCTGGGGGTAATGTGGGCACCGTGGGACTTATTGTAACCAACTTTCTCGTGTTTCTTTTTCCTCCCATTGTTCTCACTGTTGGAGAATGTGGGATGGTTTCCTTTTTCTGTAAAGTCTAAACGGGCCCCTTCCGCAACCTACCTTTCTGCTTTCTCTTTTTTATATGTGTATTTATTTATTTTGAGGCGGGGGAGGGGGAGCGCGCAAGCAGAGAAAGCGCGGCGAGAATCCCAATACAGGGCTCCATCTCACGACCGTGATCATGAGCTGAAGTCACTTAACCAACTGAGCCACCCAGGCGCTCCTGGGTTCTTCCATATGTCCCTCTGTGTGTCCTACTATCATACCCAGAGCAAGTCTTCTGATCTCTGATCTCCGTTTTCTCAACTGCAGAACGATTCTAAAGGTGCTTTCTAGTTTTCTGAGCCTATGGTTCAGTAAAAGGCAAAAAAAAAAAAAAAAAAAGAATCTGGCCTTCAGCTCCTCAACTTGTGGCATTTGTAGAAAGGACTAGAGGTATTGAACCTAGAATGTTGAGAGGGCGATTCGTCACAACCAGAGCCTCAGGAACCATTAATGGGATCCTGTGCTTAGGCCCCCCTCACCCCTACCCCTGCTTCATTTTCTGCTTTTCCTACAGGGCAGAGAGGGTCCCCGAGAGCTGGTCCTGTCCCCACCACCCTCTCTCAACCCCACAGCCCTCATGCAGAAGGACACCACCAAATGGTCCCTTTTTCCTCAGTGGTGTCAAAACCTATAGCATCCTGTACCGTACAAATAATTTTTGAAAGAGTAGGTGTATTAGCACATACTTGGGTTTTTATACAGGTTTAAAATCCATTCCCTAGTTAAAAGGTACATGCTGGGGCGCCTGGGTGGCGCAGTCGGTTAGGCGTCCGACTTCAGCCAGGTCACGATCTCGCGGTCCGTGAGTTCGAGCCCCGCGTCGGGCTCTGGGCTGATGGCTCGGAGCCTGGAGCCTGTTTCCGATTCCGTGTCTCCCTCTCTCTCTGCCCCTCCCCCGTTCATGCTCTGTCTCTCTCTGTCCCAAAAATAAATAGAAACGTTGAAAAAAAAATTTTTTTTCGTCCTTCAGCATATGACTAAATACCACTTCTGACCAAGGGAAACCGCACCCCCCCCCAGCCCCCCATCTTATGAAGTTCTTAGAGGACTTGAAAAGATACTGTAAAATATAATTTGAAGGTGCAAGAAAGAAGTGAGCCTCGGGTCGAAAAGCTGAAGAGATTGTACACTTAGTTCTCCTTTTGAAAAGCTTAGTCAAGTTGATGATGTTTTCACCTAATACTAAAGTAGCAGACAGATTGTGAGGTGACCGATATTTCAAGGCAAAAATCGCTTAATGATTATAAATGTGTAGCTGGAAATAGAGTTTATACAACCCTAACCATACAGATTAATCAAACCGACCTTCTGTGATACAAATCCGAAACAGTATTGTCAGGAAGTCTTTCGGAATCTCTAGTAAACTACAGATTCTTTCTTATACAGAATGTGCAAATGACTCTGTTCCCATAGAACACTCTAGGTCCCCTTAACTCTCCAGTACCCCCATACTTCAGGAACGGAAACTTTCCCGACCCACGTTCTTCCCCCGGTGCCAGTGAGATTCGACCATAATACCCTCAGATCACCACTACTCCAGTCATCAAACTTCGAGCTGGGCGGGGTGAAGATAAGCCATTTTGAAAGAGGGTAGGGTTCAGGTTAGGTGTTCGCTCAAGGGTGCGAAATAACCTGAACAGGATTTTCAAAGGAAAGGGCAAAAGGAGGATTTCCCCCTCGGAATCACTTGTGATTTTATGTGGCTTTTGCAGTGGATCTCTTGAGCCTGTCAGCTGCGTGCGATGCCTTGGACCAGCACCACCTCAAGCAAAATGACCAGCCCATGGACATCCTGCAGGTCATAAATTGTCTGACCACTCTCTATGATCGCCTGGAACAAGAGCACAACAATCTGGTCAACGTCCCTCTCTGCGTGGATATGTGTCTCAATTGGCTGCTGAATGTCTACGACACGTACGTATGGCCAGTGTAATTAGCATCACAACAGGGGCCCCAGTCTGGAAATCCTGTCCTCAGGATGAAAGGTTCATGAAGCCCCGTGACCTAATGCTGTCCCTGTGGTACATCAGGTTTGCATTTGTTGAAGCTGAAACATTATTTTGATGAACCGGGACGCAAGAGCTAGAATGTGCGTGGCTCTCAGAAAACAAACAAAACCCGGAGACACTCATTTTTCAAACAGTAGAATGAGTCAGTGTGTAGCCTTTTCTTGCCCGTGTGATGTGCTCCTGGAGACGCTGACGCACCTGTCACCAGATCGGAATAGCGTTCGCTCACACCCCGGAGGTTTTTGCGGAACGGTGTGAATTGATGAGCCAGAAAAAATGAGAGCGAGCCCTTCGTGGAGCAAACGGGGCTCCTCAAACTGAGGAGGCCTTATAACGCTGTACCAGGTTTCCATTTGGCATCTCCAGTTGATCATTCTCTTAGAGAGGACTTGGTTTTCTTTTTGCTTCGGATTGCCCACACGAGGTATCCCCGGTTCTAGTTTTTGTCTTGAGCTTAATGAAGGCAGTTGACGAAGGCAGCCGGCAGAATTGGTCTTCATTTGGACCGAATTCTTCTTGGACCTCCCAGTGATTACATGCCTCATTTCACATGCAAACAAGAACATATTCCCCACTTGGAAATCGGCGAAGGCTTTCTGAAAGGAGTTGCATATCAACTATTTTGCCTTTTGCCTTTGTCGTAGAGTTTTGCCACTTCTGTGATTAAGACGTACACCTCTTTCTTTGTCGTTGTGATCGGGTAGTGCTTTTTGAATTCCAAGACCATCTGGCTGTGTGATTCTGATAATTATTTACCGAGCCCTTGAACATACTGGCTTTTGATCGTGGATTACACTTAAATTTGGCTCTGATAAGGGTTCGTACTCAGTTGTTCCCGCACGTTTATTTTGGTACCGTGTTCTTTTTAGATGACATATGAATGGATTCTGAGTGTATATACGGTCCCTTCCACCTGCCTCAAAATTACTTGGGGACGGTTTTAACCGCTTGAAGACCTGAGTTAGAGTTCATGAAGTTTATTCATTAAAACTTCGGTTTGCCTTTTTTAAAGAGGAGCGCAAGGAGAAAATCTCCAAGCACGGTAATTGTGTTAACGCCTTAAGTTCCCGGATTTCTCTTCTGCCAAGGGTCTTAGGCAGCTATACCCGTGAAAAGTTGAGCATATTGTTCACCAAAAATCACCCCAGTTGGGACCTATCCTTTGTGGTTTTGCAGTGCTAGACGGGAGAATTACGCCACAGTCCCTCTCTCCTTCTCTTTTTAACCACCATCCGAGGTTTACTTTCTTTCCATAACAAAATAAAAGGTGCCAATTATTGAAAATCATTTTCTACAGAAGGAGAAATTTTTCATTCTTCGGGATCATTTTTCCCCCGTGGATAAAATGAACCATTTTAAGTTTGTCATGTGGAATGCTTTATTTCAGCTTTATATGTAAAACGAAAGTGTAAATATATTTCAAACATTGATCCAGCGGTAGGTTGTTTTTAAAATTGCTCTTTAAGATCATACATTTGATTGTTCTCTAATAGAGGATATTGTATTTTTCTTAGGGAGATAAACGTACATATTTCGTATTATGTGTCATGTGGCCTGACGTGAGCGATTTTCTTCTCAACGAGGGGCAGTCTGATACAAATCTAAGAGTGTTCAAGAGGGCACAGCAAGTCAGTTGCTGGTATTTCTTTGGCTTTCATAACCACAACAGGCAACGTGGTTCCGTGGCCAAAATAACTTAAGCGCGCAGTAGGAATTCTTCCACTGACCAACCTAAACCCAGGTGACTCTCCATTGAATAGAAGGATAATTTTTTTTATCCTTTTTATGTAGAGCCACTGTTACAATTCAAGTAAGGGCTTTTAAGAATTGCAGACTTGGTCCTCGTTCTTTGGTCAAAGTGGTCAGATTTCCGTTGCACTCTAGGCCATCGGCCGAACAGGTAAGCAAGATAATGAAGAGAAAGAGATGATGAACCGAAAAGCTGTCAGCAAATCTTACCAGGACGATTGGGTTCCTAAAACCGTGGTCACTAGAGTTCCCACGTCCAAGGCTTTTTTTCTTAAGAAGTGTTTACCGTCTAGTAACGTGTCGGTAATGGGTTTTTTTGTTTGTTTGTTTTCTTTTTTGGTCTGATTATTCATAATAGGGGACGAACCGGGAGGATCCGGGTCCTGTCTTTTAAGACTGGCATCATTTCTCTGTGTAAAGCGCATTTGGAAGACAAGTACAGATGTAAGTCATGTGTATTAACTCTCCTTTTTTATTAACGTTGCCTAATTACCCCAGTTTTAGAGGGGGGATGACTAGTGTTCTTATTTGATGGTAGGTTCCTCCCATAAGATGTAGAACTGCTTTGAGAGTCCCCAGCCTTGATTTGTGCCCTTCCCTGTCACACATTCCATTGCAGGTATTTCAATAGAGAATGAGGATTAACTTCTCCCGTCCAAGTATGATTTTACATTACATTGACTGTGTCCGAATAAAACACATGTTCCTAGAGGATAAAGTCTGATTTCCTAACCCCTTTGCCGGAGTCACAAAAAAGAATGTGAAGGTTTAACCTGTACACTTGCTGACGCTTTGGATTCTTATGTAAAGAATGCTCTCTGGCATTCGTGTTCAAGAAACATTGTTTATTTTATAATCATCTTAACGGCAAGTTGTACAGACATCTCCAGATCTGTGACGTGACTTCCATTTTATTACTTGAGAAACTGATAGTGTGCCATTTCTTACAGGGTAAATATCACCTTATAGAATTTCCTTCTGGTTAGCTCTTGGGTTCTTCGGCTTAAATCTGGTGCATCCAAATTAAAAGCAAATGCTAGAGGAGAAAAAATGGTCGCGGTGACTAAACAACCATCCGTTCCCACTGTGAGAGACTGTACTTGGTTTTCGCCCTTTATATGCTTGTAAGAAGACTTTATGGTGGGAATGTTAAGCAAACCGAGCCTGTCCTGTCGTTTGTCTTTTCCCCTAAGGCCTAGCCAACGCAGGGATGAGATGTGCTGAGTTTAAGGATGGGCAGGAGATAAAAGAGATTGAATTTCTCCAAAACCACTCATTTCGCCCCAGGAGGAAGCCACAAAAAATACACAAGCCCTTTTAGCTCTCACTTTTATGTAGTTCGCTTGGGGTTTTTTTTATCCCCCGATCCAAAGAAAAATAGCCCAACGGCTTTCATTAACCATTTAAAAAAGGTATTTTGGATACAGTAGAGTATATCTATGGGTTTTCCCCCTTTAAACAGTGGAGTTACTTACAGGTTAGTTTAAGATCTAACCTTATCAGTGGTATGGCAGTGGCACGACGTCATACCAAAGGGTGCTTTGAGCCTGTGTTTCAGATAACTAAGAGGGAACATATTTTAAGGCTGCGGAAGCAAAAATATTAACTTTAAAGTGGGATATGTGAAAATAATTCATAATTTTGAAAAAAAAAATCCGTGTGTATTGGAGAGATGGTAAAAGGTTTCCATTACTTAGAGTTGAACATGTGCTTCATGAAAAGGAAAGGCTTCCTTGAATTTGCTTTTGTTGGCAGCTTTTCTCTGAATACCGGGTCTGATGAAAACGATCTTATTTCTGAGAACAGAACATACGTCGCAGGCATCGGGTTTGGCCACTCATTCCGTGATGCTTGTGGCACATGGCTGACCAAACACGGTCCCTGCCCTCAAGGGGGATATTGTTCTTCAGCCAGAAAGATAGATGTCCATTAAAACATTGACCGTATTGAGTGACGGGCGCTAATTTACCAATACGTACAGCCTCCTTTGGGAGCACAGACAAGAAACTCCATGATCTTAGGACTTCATAAAGAAGTTCCAATTTGGGTACATTTTTGAATCTCTGGTGTCCAAAGGGGATGGTGCTTTGGACCAGTTACGTGGTTCTTTCTGCTAAGATATTTATTTTCTGACAGTGGTTATATCTTACATGTAAAATATCTCCCAGAGGACTATGTTTGGGCTTAGGAAAAATTCAGTTGTCAAAACTGTATGTAAACTTGCATTTCTCGCAGGGCCGTAGCTTATTTGAAAGCTGTCACATTTTGTATATACACGGTGATGATTAACTTGATCCATAAAAATAGTAAATGTCCGGACTCACATGAATTAGAAGGAACTGCTCTCCGTGGAATTACGGGCTCCTGTTCATAACGAGTCCCGGGATCAGGGTTGGGAGGTTTTGCTAGCATCCGCTCGATGCCGCTTCTTGGTTGTTGAACTTCTCGTCTTCCATTTGTAGACCTTTTCAAGCAAGTGGCAAGCTCCACAGGATTTTGTGACCAGCGCAGGCTGGGCCTCCTCCTGCACGACTCTATCCAGATCCCGAGGCAGTTGGGTGAAGTCGCATCCTTCGGGGGCAGTAACATCGAGCCGAGTGTCAGAAGCTGCTTCCAGTTTGTGAGTTACCTTCTTAAGTCGCAGGTTCCTTTTTGGTGTTTCAGAAATTGAAAACAAAAGCGGGCAACTCGAGTGTGGTGCCTTAGCTCCTGTGCAGGCAGGTGGGTAGGGGATTGGTGCTTGAGACCTCTGTGGGCAGTGGCTTCTGGACTCTGGGTTTTGAGAGAGAGGAGGGTACGGGGGGGCGGAGAAAAAAAATCTCTCTCCGGCAGGGCCCCCCCTGGTTACTAAGGTGCCGGGAGGGGAGAGAGTCTTGTTTACATCTCCAGCCACAGAAATCCTTGGTAAACAAGAAAATAGGGGCGCCCCCGTGGCTCGGGCGGTTGAACGTCTGACTCTTTGGATGTCGGCTCAGGTCATGATCTCACGGTGTGCGAGTTCCAACCCGCATCGCGCCCTGCGCCGACAGTGCTGAGCCTGCTTGGGATTTGCTCGCTCTCACTCTCGGCCCCTCCCCCGCTCACATTCATTCTCTCTCTTTCTCTCCCTCAAAATAACTCAGTTTAAAAATTAAAGAAGGAAAATAACTTTTGTAGGTGAGTCTTCAGTCCCTTAGTTTTTTTACCTTTATTTAAAAATTTTTTGTTGTTGTTGTTATTTTTTCCTTGATGCTTTTTGAACCCACTTGGGTTCTGTCCTCATAGCCTCCTTTTCATTGGCTGTTGGTCAGGGGTTGAAATGACTCTCTTTTTGTAAGTTTTCCTTTTGTAGCTCGGACGTTCCTCTGCTATTCCAAGGCCTGAATGGTGACCCTCTCCGTAACAGGGTCAGAGATTTATGCCCTGCTGGTGTCCCGTCCCCGGCGCAACGCGTGGCTTGTCCGTTCGCCTTCTTACCCTGCCCCGTTTCTCTTCCACATCCCAGTCAGTGCCCCCCCAAACCCTTTCTTCCTCCCAAGTGGCCAAGAACTCCCCTGATACTGAGGTGGTTTGCATTTTCGCCACGGTCGGTGATGCTGCGGTGAACCTCTTTATGCATTCCGCTGTTTCCCTTGATGGAAGTTTTTCCCTTCAGATAAATTCTCCGGGATGGGATTACCAGACTCAAAGCTAGACCTCTGTGGCTTTGCATACATGTTACCAGATGCCTGTCCATCAAAGGTCGCTCCTCTTGGTGAAACACCAGCCGCACTGAAGGAGTGAGATCTTTGCAGTATCACGTTATTCACAGTGGTTGTGTTTTTCTTTGATGGGATTTCTCAATCCATTCTAATCCCATGAACAAGAGAACTAGCTGTAGAGATAACCAGATAACCGGGTTAGGCCTCTGGTCTTTGACCACAGACTAGGATAAAACCACAGAAGGCCTCCTAGGGGGGACATTGTGAATATTTAGATGTTTAAAGCGGTTGGAACATTGTTTAAAAGTTAACCAGGCACATTGATGAAGCGATGGCACAGCAGCTAAAAATGTAACATAGATGTGGGGAAATAAATGCATTTTTTCCACCTCATACTCAGACTTCCCAAAATGTAAATAGACCATCACTACCTCTAGTTTTTTTTTTTTTTTTTTAGCCTCTAGAATGTAGACACAAGTAAAAGCGAATATCAGTGGCCGCAGATAACCTAGATTCATTTTTTTAAAAATCCACTTACAAGACTTGGAATGGATTGAGTTGTTTTTCTTAAGCAGGTTTCTCTTTAATCAAGTTTCACTTACTCTTTATTTAAAAGAAAACGTTGATCATTTTGAGAGAGAGAGAGAGAGAGAGAGAAGACGTGCGAACATGCGTGTGAGAGGGGGTCAGAGAAGGAGAGAGAACGAATCCCAAACCGGCTCTGCATTGTCAGCGCAGAGCCGGACTCGAGGTTCGATCCCACGAACTGGGAGATCGTGAACAGAGCCAAGACCAAGAGTCGTGACCTGAGCCAAAACCAGATGCTTAAGCGACTGAGCCACCTGGGCGTCCCCAGTTACTCTTCAAATTGTAGTTGTGAAACACACGCACACACACACCCACGCACATTGATATATACGGCCACGCACGCTTCTGTGTGTATTGTGGCTTGGGTCGAGAGTAAGGGTCAGGATGTACGTCGGCCAGTAGCCGACATGCATCAGGGCCACTGGAATCCTTGCCCCAGGGCCTCACAATACTGCCTGTGGCTGCAACCCCCACCACCCTCACTGCAGGGCCTGGCTCTGTTTTGAATCGAAATATACTTGACATGTTACACGGTGTAAATTTAAGGCGTACGACACGTTGATTTGATACGTTAACGTATCGTAACGTGATTGCCGCTGTAGTGATAGTGCTTCTGCCGTGTCGTGTCGTGTAATTATCATGTGTGCGGTAAGAATGAGTAAGATCTAGTCTCTGACTCTGTCACTGAACAGAAGCTCCACCTTCCACATGCTGTGCCCTTATCAGGAGCCCTGTCCCTGTGCTTTCACATGCTGCCTCCTTCTGCTGGATGTCCCCTTTCTTCCCTAACACATGCCTCTGTCCCGGCGATAGCAACACTGTCCTCTCATTGTCGCAATCTCAGACTCAGTCTGTCGGCGCATACTCACTGAATGTGTCCTGACTAGCTGCTCTCCAAGCGTTTGGGAGGGTCTTTGGTGAGCCTGGGGGAGGGGGGGAGGGGGGGGCGGGGAGGTCCTTCAAGATACTAACAGTGGTAACGGGTGGATTTTATTTTCTTCTCTCTACTCCATGGTATTTTCTGAATTTTCTTCGTGGAACGTTTATAATTAGAAAAAATGCATAAAGCACTAAGTTTGTTTGTTTGTTTGTTTTTTTAAGAGACAGAAACATCTTTTGTCTGGTGACCTTCCCTCCCAGTCTTACCGTGCTCTGTACCCTGACCTTGTCATTGCTGTTACTGCTCTCATACTGGTTTAAAAAAAAAATTTTTTTTTTAACGTTTATTTATTTTTGAGACAGAGAGAGGCAGAGCATGAGTGGGGGAGGGGCAGAGAGAGAGGGAGACACAGAATCGGAAGCAGGCTCCAGGCTCTGAGCCGTCAGCCCAGAGCCCGACGTGGGGCTCGAACTCACGAACTGTGAGATCGTGACCTGAGCCGAAGTCGGAAGCTCAACCGACTGAGCCCCCCAGGCGCCCCTCTCATACTGGTTTTAAAGAAACGTATTAGCTGTACGACAGACACCACGGGTAGAAATCCGTTTCTTTCTGTGGTCCACTGAGTAAATCCTAATGTGTCTACTTCTCACACCTTTCCTCCTCTGCTTCCGTAACCACCCAGAGTTTGCTCTCACCACCCTGAAGCAGCCTCTCCCTCCGATTTGTGCCTCCTGTGCTTACGGGTAATGTTGTTACTGTTGCTGCCGACCGTCACACTTGACCGTTGTTCCCGTGGATTCCGTCCTGAATCCTCACCAATCCTTTGAGGAGAATGGAATGGGCAGGCTTTGGGGGTCGGGTTTTTATTGTTGTTTAGATGGACGAGTAAATTGCCGCTGCCCCTCAAGGCCCTGAGCTGGTGGAAGGCTTTAATTCCTAGTCCATTGTCCCCAAACCCCCACTCACCACCTCAGTCCCAAATGTGCCCTTTTTGATTCTCCTCTCCACCCTCCGAAGGTGAAATAACAGGCGTTTTCTTTGGCTCCCTGCTGGAATATGAGATAACCCCACGGGAGCACGGGGGGCTTGGGGGTAAGGGGAATGCCCATTCTGAGAGGTTGAGTATTGGCAGTTGGGGGTTTCTAGTAGGACGTCGTGCTCACTGTGTGTGTGCCGAGTACTGTTCCTTCGGTTTGGGAAGCCTCTCACCTGGGTAGTAATTGGCAATCGGGTTGAACCGATCCCTTCTGTGTACTTCGCAGTTGACGTCTGGGACCTGGCAGGCTTGTCCTCAGCCAGGTGCTCTGGCAGTCACCTTGCCTTTCACTGTGCACCGTGCATGAAAATGCGCGGTCTGCCGCGGCGAAGGAGACCACGAGTGAAGATGCCCTTTGCCCTTTGTTTGAAGCGTGGGGACCTTGGGACTGTGCCAGGCTGGTTCTTAGAGCAAGGCTGTGCTCCAAGGCCTGTTTTCTACCCACCTAAGGACATAGCAGTAAAGTACTTAACTTCTACGAATGCATTCCTTGTATCGCAGAAAGAGAAGGTGACTTCAGAAGAGAACTTCTTTTGAGTTGGGACAGTGAGAGAGGTGTAGCTTCTGGTTGTAGACAAGAGCCTAGAAGGGGCCGAAAGAGAGCGGTGTATTTTCCTGGGCAGCGCTCAGTGGGGGATCTTTTCAAGGTTTCCTTAGCTCGGATCCAGATCCCTCCGTTCGGGACACGGATGGTGGTGATGGTTCCCCAACAATATGAATTTCCGAAAAAAAAAAAAAAAAAAAAAAAAAAAACAACTCGGGGAAGAAACCCCCACGTTGCTCCAAAACAGATAGAGAAGGAACCCACCATCAAGTGCAGGTACGATGTTTTGCCCACTTACAAATCAGTATAGGTCTTTCAAGGAATTGTCTAGTAAGCCAGGAAATGAAGGTATACCTGTGGATTTAAAAAAAGGAAAATCTACCCTACATTTATGGGTTTGACAGCGGTACCTTCCTTGAGAGTAAACAAGGCAACCAGGGTAATGTTCCTACCTTAGAAGCCTATTGCAATGCACACATATACTGGGAAACAGACCCTGTGGGGATAGTAGAAGTGAAGTTGTAAAACTAGTTTGTTGCAGTTAATGCATCATCATGTCGTTCCTCTTTGCATATTCCACGGACGCAACTCCACTGTCAGACTATGTTGATCCTTCTGACCTGAGTGAGGCCAGGCCCGTCCCGGAATTGAGTCGCACAGGCAGCCCAGACTGGAGAGTGCCCACATGTCTCCTTTTTCGGATGAGAAAATAAAATAAAATAAAAACTGCAGCCCGGAGAGGCAGAACTACGTTCCACCTGCTGCGATTCTAGCACGTCAGATCTAGACAGAAGGCCCAAGTTCCCTGTGTTCCCAGCCAGTATTTCCTTCTGCTAGACCATCTGAGTGGAAATAGGTGGTTTGGACCAGTTCACATACTAGACTGAACAGAGAGCTAGGAAACGTGATCTTTTGTACGAAGTTAGGGTTGTAATAGGATGACACCGATAAATGAACACCCTTACCGCGACCCCCACACCCGTGCGCACGCTCGCCCACATGCCCCATGATCTTTATTTAAGACCTTCTATTCCTGGGGCACCTGCGTGGCTCAGTCTGTTAAGCGTCTGAGTCTTGTTTTGAGCTTGGGTTACGATCTCGCAGTTCATGGGATCAAGCCCCCCCCCCCCCCGTGTCTGGCTGTCCTGCTTGGGATTCTCTGTCTCCCTCTCTCTCTGCCTTTCCCTCCCTCCCTCCCTCCCTCCCACGTGCGCGCTCTCGCTCTCTCTTTCTCTCAAAATAGATAAATAAAAGATGAGTTCCCAATTGCAGGTGACTAGTCTTCCTGCAAATAAAACCTGCCGATAGTGACTCTTAGGTGGGAAAGCTTTATACCGTTAAGTGACTCCAGAAAAGAGGCGTGCCCCTGTAAATTGGATTGTGGCAGTGCCCTGAGAAGTACCCCCTTCCCCCATGATAGTTTGTCGTGTTCTCTTCTGTAAACATTTTAAGGACTTTATTGTTTAGATGGAATCAAGTATACCCACTTGATATTCAGTGTGCTTCCCCTCCAGGAGCTTGGGCACCAAAATCTGTTTATTTTATATCCTGTTGTATTTATGCATTCAAAACGACTAAGTTGCTTTTTCATCTGTCTTCTGAAATTTTATATTCAGGTGACAAAAATGAATATCCTCTATGTACAGTTGCTATAATAGAAAATGATACAGAAACAAGAATAAATTACAACCTCAACTATTGAAAGCCTGTCTCTCTCTCTCTCTCCTATGTAAACCATCATTCTAGAATAACTGGAGTAGTGAGTGGCCGAGTGGTTACGTGCCTGGGCCCTGAAGCCAACTGCCTGGGTTCAAATCCCAGCTCGGCTATTTCCTGCCCTGGACACGTTTTTGAACCTTTCTGGCCCCTGGGTTTTGGGCAGTTGTGAGGGCCAAGTGACCATTAGAGGCAGAGCACTTAGAGTCCCCGCAGGCACATAGTAGGTACTTTACTAAGTGTTAGCTTACAGTGATCTAAAGCGTCTTGCAACATGAGACTGATGTGCCAAGATTAACAATTCCTTTTATCTATGGCCGGCCATCTGTAGACTTTATTTTAGAGACCCTTGCCATACTGTTTTCTCCAGGAGTGTTAAAATACCATGCCAGGACACTTGGGAACCAGTGTGACAGCATTCCTCATGCCACTCGATCGCATTTTACACCGTCCATCCTGAAAATAGCTCCAGAAAATTCTCCTTTGCTTAGGTTTGGCTTCTTGTTCAGTAACCAAAATCTGGGCCCTTTAGTTCCAAAGACATTCTTTTTATACCTCTTTGGGTGGTCAATGTTGAACTCCTGCTTCCTTGAACTCATAATGGATATTGACTCATAACTACAATATTAGTAAGTTACTCCAATTTGGTATTCATAAACCGAGGTAGTATCAGTAGCGTGAGGTGGCCATCGATTGCTTCTCAGTCGCTGGTTTTTAAAATTATAAGCTACGGTGGGTTTAGCTTCATAGTTTTCCATTTAATTTGTTGTGGTTTGTGTCGTTAACTTCTCAATGTCAGGTGATGGTTATTTTCTTCAGTATTTTGGAAATAGGTTTGTGTTGTCGTCGGAACCTGCTTCATTCCCACCAACAGTGCAGGAGGGTTCCCGTTTCTCCACATCCTCGCCGGCATCTATAGTCTCCTGATTTGTTCATTTTGGCCGCTCTGACCGGCGTGAGGTGGTATCTCGGTGTGGTTTTGATTTGTTTTTCCCTGATGGGGAGCGACGTTGAGCATCTTTTCATGTGCCTGTTGGCCGTCTGGATGTCTGCTTTAGAAAAGTGTCTATTCATGTCTTCTGCCCAGTTAGACACTGGATTATTTGTTTTTCGGGTGTGGAGTTTGGTGAGTTCTTTATAGATTTTGGGTACTAGCCCTTTATCTGATATGTCATTTGCAAATATCTTTTCCCATTCTGTCGGTTGCCTTTTAGTTTTGTTGATGGCTACCCAAGGGATACAGGAGTGCTGATGATGCATAGGGGCACTTGTACCCCAATGTTTATAGCAGCACTTTCAACAAGAGCCAAATCATGGGAAGAGCCTAAATGTCCACCAACTGACGAATGGATAAAGATCTTGTGGTTTATATACACAATGGAATACTACTTGGCAATGAGAAAGAATGAAATCTGGCCGTTTGCAGCAACATGGATGGAACTGGAGGGGGTATTATGCTAAGTGAAATAAGTCAGGCAGAGAAAGAAAGACACCGTATGTTTTCACTCATATGTGATCCTGAGACACTTAACAGAACACCATGGGGGGAGGGGAAGGGGGGGAAAAAGTTAGAGAGAGGGAAGGAGGCAAACCTTAAGAGAATCCTAAAGACTGAGAATACCCTGAGGGTGGAGGGGGGGGGGGGGAGAGGGGAAGGTGGCTGATGGGCATGGAGGAAGGCACCTGTTGGGATGAGCACTGGGTGTTGTATGGAGACCAATTTGACAATAAATTATATTTAATATAAAAAAAAAAACCTGTTTCATTCACTTAAACTGCTAAGGAAAATAAGCGGTGTGCTTTCTTTGCTCTGCCTTCTAAAGTAGTAGTTCGTTGTTGTGACCAAATTTTTCCCTCCCTCCCTTCCTCCCTCCCTCCCACCCCAAGTTCACCATTAATTCTAATTCACATGGAAACTTACCCAAGAAACTCACGGAAACGAGGAAACATGAGTTCAGTAAAGCCAGTTTGTCACTGGCTCATAAATTGAATTTTAATGGAAAATTTTTTATTTATTTGTTTGTTTGTTTGTTTGTTTAGAGAATGAATGTGAATGAGTGGCCGGGGAGGGCAGAGAGAGGGGGGGCAGACAGAGGATCCAAAGCGGGCTCAGCTCTGACAGCAGAGAGCCTGATGCGGGGCTCCGACTCGCCAACCACGAGATCATGACCTGAGCTGAAGTCAGATGCTTAACTGAGTGAGCCACACAGGTGCCGCATTAATGGAAAATAGCTTTTGCAAAGATTATTTAAGATGAAGGGACCGGTAAAATTTCCTCCTGGGATATCCTTATCTGTTCATCCAGGGCCTTTAGTGTACCTTGATTCTCTAACAACTAGAGGTTTTTTGTTTTGGGTTGGGTTTTCTTTTTCTTGACATCTGATCAAATATTTCAAAAATTTTTTTCTTTTTTTAAAGGTACATTAAAAAAAAAAAAACATGGGGTTAAATGTATTCTGGTGGTCAGTTCTGTGAATTTAGACAAATGCGTTGTGTTACTGTCACTGCAGTCGGGACCCAGAACATTTCCATCGGCCCTGACGTTCTCTCTTGCTAGGTTGCCATCCTGTGTGCTCCCGGTCTCAGGAAACCATGACTCTGTTTTCCGTTCCTATGGTTTTGCCTTTCCCTCAGCTGGATTTCAAATGATTGTAGGAGGCAGCAATAGAAGAGCTAATGTTATATTTTGTACTTGAGCAAAACCTGCCCTGATACGTACTTGAGAAAGTATGTTTTGTTGATATCTACACAGATAGATGCGTTTTACCGTGTATATAGGAAACCTTTCTGTTCGGTAAGAACCAGCATAAATTCGTGTTGAGTATACTTACGGATTTGCATAGATTTAAGAATTGGGCTTATGTTCCCTGGAGCCATGGTGTTAATTGGTTTATTAGTCAGGTGGAGTGGAGAGCCTGAGGTCAGGACACTTGTCCTTGAACATGTAAATGAAGAGTGGATAATCACTGTGTGTTATTGTTTGGGCTGATTTTATCTTTAATGGGTAATTCAGAGTCCTGATTAATATTTAGAGCTGTGACTGCTGGCCTCCAACCTGCTCATTATCTTCAGAACTTTAAATAAAATACCTAGTTTCTACCCAAGACAGCAGTGATGGGAAACCTTTTACTTCTCGTCTCACAAACACAACTCTTGACCTCTCCATCCTTATTTCAAACATGAAAAGTTTCCGTACATGTAGGGATTCTTCAAGTCCTTTTTAGGCCGAAAATTCACAAGTATCTGGGAAAAGCACATCTCAAGCAGAGAGTGAGGGGATGTTTTCGGAACACTGTAGCCGATGCCATTAATGCCATTTCCCCTCCCCTGTAACATTTATTAAAGCCCTCCCCCATGAAGGGGTGATTTGGAAGGAACGTTGGTCTCCAGCCAGTGTTGTGCTTTGGAAGAACTTCCAGCATGAAGAAGAGGAGAAAGGATAGTGCAGTGAGCACCCATACATCTCCTGTGTACGGCCCGTGGGTTAGCACTTTGTCCCGTGAACAGTCCACTTCTGCTCACTCCGTTCCTGCGCCTGTATTTGAACATACACACACAAGCACAGTTTTCCCCTTTATGCTTTAAAAGCCCACGGGCATCACACCAGAAAACATAAGCCCGTAAGCACTTCAGCACATGGGTTTGTTTGTTTGTTTGTTTGTTTGTTTTTAAAGGACTTTCTCGTCCGTAACTGCAAAGCTCTCATGGTGGAAATGTAACATCCTTTCAGTAACATCACGTAGCATGCAGTCCGCACCGAAATTTCCCCATGGCCCTGGAGCGTTCCTCATGGGTGGCTATTTGCTCCTAGGATCTAGTCAACGGTTTGTCTTGGATTTGCTTGTTGTGTCTCTGTGCTTTCACTTAATTGGAACAGTCTCCTCGCATTTTTTTTCCGCATTCATGACACTGACATTTTGGGAGTTCAGGCCAGTTCTCTTAAAGACTGTCGTGCATTGGGGATTTTTCTAGTTATTTCTTCCTGATGAGATTCAGGTGAACTTTTTTTTTGGGGGGGGGGCAGGAACACAACAGAGGTGATGTTGTCTGCTCGCTACATCACGTCTGGAGGGACAAATGAATACCTTGTGTTTTTGTTTTTTTTTTTTTTAATTTTTTTTTTCAACGTTTTTTATTTATTTTTGGGACAGAGAGAGACAGAGCATGAACGGGGGAGGGGCAGAGAGAGAGAGGGAGACACAGAATCGGAAACAGGCTCCAGGCTCCGAGCCATCAGCCCAGAGCCCGACGCGGGGCTCGAACTCATGGACCACGAGATCGTGACCTGGCTGAAGTCGGACGCTTAACCGACTGCGCCACCCAGGCGCCCCAAATACCTTGTTTTTTTTAACTGATAATGCTAAGTACATGAAGGACGCGTCTGCCACATATTTCCACGTAAAAGTGTCCTTTGCCCTTTGGAATCAGGAAGTCATTGGTGCGATATTTGGGGACTGTGAATATCCTATTCCTTAACAACCTTTCACCCTATAATTATAGCCTCCAGCGATGACCCTTTTCTAATTCAGTGATTGTATTGGTGGTTGCGGAAGAGCAGTTTTCCATTCTACCTTTCTTTGCGTATGCAGTAGCTGGGTTTCTTCTGTCAAGAGGCGTTCCCGTGTCTCCCCTCTCCGTTTTTGACTTTGCCCGCGGACATCCCATCGGATGTTGAATGTACCAGAGATGAGATTGCTCCTGACTGAGCTGCCTTCGGATGCTCCCTTTGCCATGGCATTGCCTAAAGTGCCAGCGCACAGAATCGGCCGTGCTTTTTTCCTCCGTAGCGATGCAAACAGGGATCTGATAAATAATACGTTCCCGTAGCAGCAGCCAACTCTTCTATGGGAGTGACAGGTTAACCAAAGCATCTAACAGGACCTGTGTGCTCATGAGGGTTGAGATGCTCGTAGGCTCTTGTGGTTCTTTTCCTGTTTGCTACTTCAGTATATGTTGACCCGAGCCTGTCAGCCTTTGTAGGTCATACGTGCCGTTGCATGCAGTACCACAAAGAAGGGGGAAGGGAGGTGATCGGAAAAGACAGGAGTGTTAGGGCACCTGGGTGGTCAGTCGGTGAAGCATCTGACTTTGGCTCAGGTCACGATCTCCCGGTTCATGGGTTTGAGTCCCGGTTCGTGGGTTCGAGCCCCGCATCGGGCTCTTTGCTCGCAGCTCAGAGCCTGAAGCCTGCTTCAGCTTCTGTGTCTCCCTTTCTCTCTGCCCCTCCCCCCATCTTGCCCTCTGTCTCTCTCAAAAAATAAACATTGAAAAAAATGTTTTTTAAAAAAAGCAAAGATAGGAGCGTGTGTTTATCACAATGGTTTTTGACAATTCACTTTGTCCTTTCAGATGGCTGTCCGTAGGTCAGTGCAGAATTTTGTTGGAGATTTAAGCAGCTGGGCATTGTCTCGGGTAGGCCTTGCTTAGGTCTCAGAGCCTCTAGAACTCTCCAACAGGTTAAAGATTGAAAAGATTTCAGACATCAGCTGTTCCCATAGGAAATCACTTGTGTTTTTCCTTTTTTAAGACTGCTTTATGTACACGTATTGAAGTATTCGGTTAATAGATAGCCTTGAGCTGTTTCCTTAACTTCTTTGAGCCTTTTTTCCCTCTGTAGCATAGTTAAACATTCTATCAAGAGTTACTTATCCTCAAGTTTTTTCATTTCTCCTATCTTCTCTCTTTAGTAATGAATTAATTTTTATACTTCAGAGTTTTAAAGTGCGCAATTTGATAATTTTTGACACGGGCACACATGATGACTCCAGCACAACAATCAAAATGAGCATATCTATGATCCCCAGAAGTGTTTTTAGGCCCCTTGGGAATGCCTACAGGTCCCCGGTACCCACCCCCACCTTGCGATGATAACTTCCCCACTCGCTGTCACTATAGACCCCCTCGCATAGTCTGTAGTTCTAGGCAAATGGGATTTTATAGGAGGTACTAATTTTTGCCTGGCTTTTACTCAGCATAATTCAAATTTATTTTTATTGTGTGTATCCATATCGTTCCCTTTTATTTACTAAACAGTATCCCATTCTATGGGTATTGCGCAGTTTGTGTTTTTTTCTCCCGTGTTTTTTTTTTTTTTTTTT